AACTGCAGATAAAAGCTCATGATCAGCACATTGAATATTTGTTAAAAGTCTGAGGCTGGTAAAATATAACAACGGATGGGGAAATATGAGGATAAACTGAAGATCAGATGAGGATTGACAACAACCTGCAGGCTTAAGTAATAAGGAAAACAGGTGCCTGCTGCAGAACATATGAGGAACCACGGATGCATAGAATGAATTAGCAGAAGGCTCTGTTTGGGGGAGAAATTATTAAACTGGGATAAACCAGGAAAACAGAAGAAGCCAAATCCAGCAATATAAAAATAATGACCTGAAAAAGTTAGGACAAAATCAACTAAATAGACTAAGAAAACCAAAGAGAAATAAACATCAACAAAAAAACATCTTAAAAAGGCAGCAAAGTCCCATGAGGACCAGGATTTGAACTCCATTACAGTCTCCAGTGGCTGTTTGAAAGATGGATATCGATGAGGTAATGAATCGAATTGTGGTGAAAACAATGTAATATGATGTTGTTGAAAATAAAAAACGTTTAACTTTGGTTTTGTACCATATTCCTGCACCGCTGCCACCTTCCCCCTCCTATCTCACCCGACTCTTCAGCGACTGATGTGCTGGCGAGTTTAGAGCCTTTAAACAGATAAATATAATATTATATTAGATACTTTCACAGTAAAGACGTTTAAAGATCTCAGCAGGAAGCTGCCGCATTGCATGAATGTCAACCCTGCACGATTTGCACAAATATACAGTGTCTAGATAGTGAGCTAGATATATCTCAGTATGCTTTGCCAGAGCTCTCCTCGCAAAGCATCATGAGATTTGTTGTGGCGGTGAAAAAATAAAAAAGATGGTGCAGGCACCATGTAGGCAGCTGGAGTCATGTGACCAACTAGGAGCGGAAAGTAGTTATTATCTGTCCAAAAGGCTAGGTAACTGATTTCACTATATAGACCCCGCTTTATAGTGAATGAGGGGTGGACGAAGACTTTCGGACACAGTCTCAGTTGCATTAACTTCTGTCTGAATGGGGAAAGTGGGAAGTGATGTATGCCGTACAGCAGTCTTCACATTTATGGTGGTCTTATGTGGCAGAGTTACTGCCACCCTCCTCAATGTTGCTTAGTGCCGGTCAAAATGATAAAGGCCCCCTCAGGCCATAACAGAGGTGTCATTCAACTAGTTGTAAGTCAACATATAATGATTGAAGTTATGAAAATATTTAATGAGTGTTAAAAATTACCTAGTGTTGGTTTACGTGATGCAACATACATGCAGCGGAAGGTTGATTTACAATATTAACTTAGATGGTGATTTATAAATGCATCTTACAACATTTTGATTGCTGTAGAATAAAACATATTAAAAAAAAAAACGATGCTGTATTATGCTGTACTTGATGTTTATCATGTTAATTTTTATACCTTAAAAGCCAAGGTTGTAAAATGATCACAGGATGTTATCTCACTGGACAAAATATTTATTCTGTGCCAAGAACAATGGTGCACAGCTTGAAGGAATGAGATGATGGTTATGAGCATAAAGTAGGTCAGAGGGAAAAGTGAAAGAAACCAAAGAAATCTACTTGGAAAAGCAAGAAGGAACAAAAAAAAAAGGAATATATACAGAAAACTTGAGATTAAAACTAAAAAGAAGTTAAATGATTTAACAGCGATTAGAGGATTCTGCTGCTGCAGGCACTTGGCACTTGGCGCCAAGAAAGCCAGCTTCAAGGATTTGGAGGCCTCCAATGTGCAGATAGTCAGAGAAGTGATGATGTGCACACAGTGTGAATGAACGGTCCGGAGATCTATTTATAAATCCATCTGGAGTGGCCCTTACCAGGGGTTAGCAGGGACCACTGGCATACACATTGCATATTAACAGTTGCTACCAACAGGGATCCACTCCAAATTGAAATGGAGATATTGTTCACATTACAAAGTGGAAATTAGGCCAAATTTCATTCTGTTCCTTCTAAAGCAGGTTTAAGCCCTTATTCCATTTGGTGCCCAAATCATGTGCATGTTCAGTGAAAGCCAATATTGAAGCATGACAAATGTAGGATTAGCAATAGTACAGGTCATTCCTTTACTGAGTCAAAAGTTTGGGTTTCAAATAGCCTGTTTGTTTTATTCATATTTTGATTAAATATGACAAAATGTCATTAATAAAGGCAGGACAAGAGGACAAGAGGTTGAATAAACTGAAATGTGTTTCACCTCTTTTGTACAGGTAGTGTGAAACATGTTTGCAACATGCAGATTTGGATGGAGAGCAGGATGGTAATACTATCACATTATATTGTTGACTCCAATTTTAGATGTGCCTCCCCTGTTGAGCTGCACCTGTTGCTTTATCAAATCCAATATTGCATCAATGTCTGCTGAGGTGCTCCTCTGGGGTTGGTAGATTTTAGCTATTTATGTTTAATCCATATCTAAAAACAGCAATTTTATTAATTTTATGTGGGCTCATAGAAGCATTTGCCTGTGACAAGAGGGTCCCAAGTTCAAATCCCAATTAAGGCTTCGCAGCTTGACCTATGCCCTTCCTTGCATCCAAGGAGTCTAAATTATCATACAGTTTTACTTACAAAATATGCTCCTGATTTGTCTTGTGAAATATCTAAACCATCAGACTCTCTGATTTTGTCAGACTAAAACCAACTAGTTTCATACACTTTATTGGGATTTTATGTTCAAAACTGAACAGAAAGTAATGCTGAAAAGTCAAATTCACAGGATTTTTAAAATGTTTACAAAATATGCTATGTGCATAAAAAAGGTTTAAGATGCATTTAAATTCAGAACCATATGCTCCAGTAGCCCATTTAAATTTGGTTTTAAATTATTTTTAAATTTAGTTTTTAAAGGGGCATAGCCATGTTATGTGACATCTTTTAAGTATATTCGCTGTTAGCTTGTTTTAGTCCAAGATCCAGTGTAAAAAAAACTAAAACAAAGGTTTCAAGTCTTAAAAAGCATTCAGAAAACAGAAGGTTTGGTGAATACATAAAAGTATAGAGAGGATGTTCTTTTTCTGGGTGGATCATCAAAATAAGTGGTCCTCCTCTTTGTCAATCATTCTGGTTATGCGTTCACGTAAGGCCGTCCTATTTGCTCGTACCCATTTTCACCTAACCCTATGCCGAGAAATGTCTGGCTGCCGAGAATTACCTCCCCTCTCGCACACTGATGAGAAAACAGATTGAAATATGAATGAAAAGGGAACCTTTAAACATATTCTTAATGTTTTCATATTTCTTATGCATGGATGCCCTAAAATTTTAGAGTTTTGGTGGAGAAGGTTGTTCACTTTAAAGATTGTATTACCTGAGCAATGGATCTTCGAAGCTCTTCAAAAGCCAATCTCTCCCTTCTGGCTTCTTTTTTTTAAATAATGTTATGGTGCAAAGTTAAACAAAATATCTAAAATGTGTCATGATCTTGTCGAAGATGACTGGCCTGATTACTCATTTAATTCACCTGCCTAGCTCCATCCAGTTCTCATACCCTTCATCTGATCCACCTGCTTCAGCCTCTATTTAACCAGACGTCGGCCAGTCATGTGTGCCAGATTACTCAAGCCTTTGGTGAGAGTTCTCTAGTGTACCTGAGTGTTTCTGATGCCTGATCCCGGCCTATTCTGCCTCTGGACTTCTGAGCCTACATGTCCCCGTTCTTATCTATATTCCTGACCTATCCTCAGACTCCTACTGGATTCTGTGTACCGAACTTTGAACTGATTCCTAACACCGTCCTGGATTTCCCTCCAGTACCTCTTCAAATTTCGGATCTCCTGGCTCTGAATCCTAAACACGTTCTCGACATCGGCTTTGGCTTCGCCCTCTGAATTATCATGCCTTCAGCCATCTGCTTGGTTCTGATCTCCTGCCTGTTCTCTGACCTCTGGGACTTCAGTGTCCGGGACTCTCTGAACGGCACCCGCATTGTCCTATTGACAGCTGACTGGCTGAATCAACCTTGTTCTCAGGGAATGGACTGAACACTAAGACCAGGTTAATGTATCACACATTCATTATCATCTTCCGTCACTACCCTGTGTTCTCCTCTTGCAGAGGTTCCTGCCTTAAGCTGGCATACACTGTACAATTTTTTGCCCTTTTCGGACCAATTCTCCAGTCATGAGAGAATTTTTCAATCGGACAGACTTTCAGCCTGATTGTGCGTCGTGTGTCATGTAGTATACAGGGGGTAACGATGGGCGATCAGCCACTCACGACCACCTCCTGATCAGGAATCATGAAGTCGGAAGAAATCAAACGTGTTTGAAATTCAGTCGGTCGTCATGGACAAATTGCTCAGTGCGCATGCGCAAACACGGATTTTTCTTCTTCCTTTCAGATGGAAAAAACAGAAGCATGGTGGGGGTGCGAATGAAATGGAGTTCCTTCTGTAAAATTGACAGACCGTAGTGGCCACGTCTGCTTAGCCATGTCTTTGTCCAAATACGTTGTTGCCTTTTCTTTTGGGCTTTCTTTGGGCACACAAAATTTCACAAATTGCCAAGGCAGCGCGTTTCACTCTAGTAAGCTTTATATTTCTCTTCTACTCGTTTAGCTTCCGGATAGATGAGTCTGAGTAGTGCAATCTCACTGCTGAGCTGAGTCTGACTTGGTTTTTAGACGCACTTTGTGAGCAGGTGGATCGCATCAGACTGTCGGGTCGCACAGTGTGAGAACATACATCGTGAGCTGTGAACTTTTAGACACTGAGGTTTTGTCGTACAGTGTGAGCTGTAGCTGCGTCGTAAAACCGTACAGTGTATTCCCCGCTTTAGACGCCGATGCTGTTCTCTACAATTCTGTCTTAAATAAAACATTTTGTGAAACCTAACTGTCAAACTGCCTTAAAAACTTGGCCCGTTTGTTCTGAGCCTGACAAAATGTGGTTGTTCATGATGAGTAGACTATGAATGATTACAGAGATTCATTTTGGCTCACCTCATGGAATGTTAGTAAGCAGGACAAATGAACTGTTCAGACCTCAAATTTTTCATAATTTATTCGCCATGGCACACTAAAACTCACCAACATATATATGTATATAAAACAATGAAAGTGAAACCTTGAAGGATATTTACAGACATGTAAAAAGCAGCACCTTATACATTTGAGTTGCAGCAATATCTACAAAATAGAAAATAAAGCTTATCTCTCTCCTCTTCCCTCTCTGAGCAGCTCCTCCTCCACACCTCCTCTTTCTCTTACTTTCCTGGCCTCCTTCTCAGCCTCCATTTCCCTCCTCTGTTCTTCTCTTGCTGTCTCCATGAGCCAAGGCCCTCCCAGGTAGCTCAAGATCTCCTCTGGGCTTGCTCTGTGTTTGGGATTGGGGTGTAGGAGCTCCTTTAATAGAGTCATCACTAGCGGGCTGAGGCCCTCAAATTGTGAGGGAGGAGGGTTGCTTCTTTGCTTTTGCTCCATGATTTGATAACTATCAGCCTCCTCTTCAACATATTGTGCTTTGTCCTCTTTTTCAGCCTCATTGTCAAACCACTCCTTGTATTTACGGTAGCCAGGGTCATCGTGCGTGCTCTCTTCCCAGGGGAAGCAACCAGTCAGCAGGCAGTAGATGAGCACGCCAAGGGCCCAGCTGTCAATACTGGGCTGCACTGTTATCCAGATGTCCTCAATCTCCATCTCCTCCTCGATCCCCTCCTGCAGCCTCCTCTCCATCTCCTTCTCTACCTTCTTGGCAGCCTCCACCTCGGGGGTGCAGAAAGGAGACTCGTACCATACCCCTCGGACCGTGGTGCCAACAGCCCGTGTGAGGCCGAAGTCACCCAGTTTGACCCATCGACAGGAGCTGTCACAGAGGAAGATGTTCTCGGGCTTGATATCACGATGGACGAAACCTAGGGAGTGGAGGTGTGTGACAGCTCCACTCAGCTGGGACATCACCCTCTGGACGCAGTTCTCATTCACCCCGACCTAAACCAGACAGAGTGTCCTGATCAGTGCATATAGAAACAGTCCTTTAATAAGCCTGGGGCCACAATCCTCACATTTTATATAACTATATGGTTTATAGATAACTATATGATTTATTTATAGAAGATGAAAAATTTCCCTGTACAAAAAAAAAATAAAATATAAGCTTTGTTTGTACTCCCAATATTTATTATCAGAAACCAAAGATCTAGGAATTTCCATATAGACAAGTTTTTGTGTATATTTAACAAAAAAGTTCTTTACAAAACTGTCTAAATCAGTGCTAATGAGCACTTCTCCTTTCTATTTTGATTTATTTGATAAGGACAACTATATACATTTTAAATGTCATATAATATGGCACTTATAGCTGTCCTTAAAGAATGTATAAATCAAATTTGCATTTTTACTTTGTTGGGATCAAGAGTGACCATCATTTGCTTCACACCTATTTTCTTTGAGTAGAGATGATCAGATTGGTGATTATGGCCTTTGGAGTCTTGGTCCATACCTGTTCAGTGGTAGAATTTGTATAGCTATTGGTACAAGCGAAAACACACTGTTGTGTACTCCAATCAATAGTATCCAAAAATGCGAAGTGCTTTGTGATGCAACCACGTATTTTCCCTGTGGTCAACCTAAGGAGTACCTGTTTATTCGTGCTGTTAAATCAACATCTTAATATTACACATGTATGAGGGGAAATGATTATCTCGACAAAGGAGAAGTACTCTATAACTTTACACAGATATATCAAAAATATTTAACAGAAAGAGGATTTTTGTTTTAATAGAAAATGTTTTGGGTCTTAGGCTTGAATTCATTACAGTACAATAAACATTACAAAAAAAATCTTGATTTCTCACAACAAGTTTTGTTGGAGCTCTTCAGCGCGGTTTTTCTGATTATCAAACTGCGTCACTAAAAAAGTCCGTGACGCTCTTGGAAATCGCTGCTGAGCTTCAAACTCACCTTATGCAGGCTGCACAAGGTCTTATCAGCTGTCTGCTGTGTTACTGGCAGAGGCACAAACACAGAAATAGGTGTACTGGGGGCTGTTATCAACTTTGTCTCAAGTTTAAACTTGCAGAATAAAGAGCTCAGAGCAAGTGGATCAGCTGAGAAATCGCTATGACCCCTACAGGCAGCTGCTGCTTCACATCTTTTGCCATGTAGATGTCATTAAGCAGTTTTATTGTCCGGTAGAGATCAATTACTCTGCCTCTGTGTATTTTCATGGAGACATTTAAAGCAACAGCAATGAAAACCAGAGATTCAAGGTTTCAGACTTACCTCTGACACAACAACGCTGTAAAGATCACCGTACAGACAGGGTTGCTGGGCGAAGACATAGTAGGACGGTGTGGAGAAGAAGATGCCGAGGGCCCTCGTCAGAGAAGGATGGGTGCAGTAAGCGAGGGAGAGGTTGTATTCCCGCAGGAAAGAGGTGAGTAAGGTGGACTTTCGAGGAAAGAACTTCAGAGCCATTGGAGTTCCTAATGGGAATTAGAGGAACATTAAAGGTTTTGGGTTGAAGTGAACTATTTAAAACCTATCATCTTTCATGGGCTGCAAGTGCTGCCCGTGACTGACACAGTTAACAACTTTAATCCCCTCTTGGACCGACTTTTGCTTCACAGCTTTGCTCCAGCTGCTGAAACTCTATCCTGGAGAATTTATCAAAGCTCTTCATTACAGTGACAGAAGCAGTAAAGGTTAAATGAGCTCCTGCAAAAGCCGAACACACACATTTAGTGTCTTGATTAGAGAAGAAGAACTTGAGATGCACCCTATAGTTTACACTTTTTATAAGTTGTGACCCACATATTTAAGTTGTGCACTGACCTCTCTTCCTGTGCAATGCCAACATGACCTTTCCATACGATCCCTCTCCAAGGAGCTTCAGCACCTTGAAATGGTTCGACACCTTCAGGGTGGGCAGGGACTGCGCTGACAGGAAGCATAGCTCGTCGAGTTCCTTGGCTGCCTCAGCCTACGTGGTTTCGTGCAAACAGACACACAAATTCAGATTTTGTGTCAGTGCTTTGGGCATCAGGCTTTCATTCTGTAGCATCAAGAGAAAGCAGATCTGCACTCTGACTAGCATATGATGATAGATAACTTAAGAAATATTAAGTGTGACTGTAAGGCTGCACTTTCAGGGGTGTCACCTGAACCTACAACATGACAGGATCTGAAAAATATAAGTCTAATGTATCTAATTTATTGCAAATTAGAATTGCATTAATTTCTCTGGTTGCAGTCTTATACTGATAGCTGGAAAAAGGATCCCACTTTAGCATTTGGCAAAGATTACTGGAACATGTTGCTTTTTTATGGCTTTCTGATAATCTGGCTTGATCCTATCTGATGTTTACAGTAAATAGAACTAATTCCTGACATGTCTGATCGGGACAATTAGACCATTTGGCACCGTCATTCATCAGTCTTTGTCTATGATGTCCTGTCCCCAATGATTTCCTTTGAAGTAGAGCACCCATGACATAAACCGGCAAACTATGATGGGTGTCAACAGCTTAGACATCCAGCTTAACACAAACGATGAGGCGATCAAAGATGAACAGCATATTTTAACTTGTGACCTTTTACATGTTGTGTAACTAAGCGACAAATCTGAAATAAACTGCTGCGAATATAGCTACTGAAATGATTATTGTCCAGGTATCATTCAGTAAATCCTCCTTTAGATTAATCAGAGCAATAAAGGCAGATGGATTAGAAGATCAGATGATAATACAAAGAACCTCAAAGGTGTAAACACATCTGATTTCTAAGAAACATCTCAAAGAATAACTTGTTCTCTGTAAAGGAAAATAAAATGTCTAAGATTTCCATATTTTGTCATGTAAGAACCATGCATTTATGTGTGGACTTTGACTGGACCATTCTGACACAAAAACTGCTACGATCTAAATCATCTAATAATAGATCTACTGGTTTGTTTGTGGTTATTGACCTGTTGGAGGGAGAACTTATGGCCTTATCTCAATATTTCCCTTCCTGTAATTAGGTTTGTTCATCAGACATACATTTTCATCCAGTTAGAGAGAGATGCTCAACAGAAATTTTGTGTGATCAAAGGAGTCACTAGGTCAGAAAAACAGAACTTTTATCTCGAGGTAAAAAGAAAAGCGCATTTATGCAAATAAGTATGTCAAAATTTTATGCATGTATGTAAATGAAATCATAATCAAACTGAAACACATTCTCGAGTGAATCGATTTTAGACCTTATCAAACTGTTAAAAAGAACTGCAGCTGTCTACTAATCAAATTTGTCATACATTTGATATCTCCCATATGACAAAAAAAAAATACTATACTTAGTTTTTTCGTTTTTCTTTCCTTTACTGTCTAGTTGGATGACTTATGGCTTTGTTATTTGAATCAGTGCAGAATCAGTATGAAGATTTCCCAGGAGAACTTTAGCTATGATAATTTATCAGATGCTTATTTTTCTGTAACCTTTGTCTCCAATTAACAGGTGCTGAATGGTTCTAATACTATTCTTGATAGAGCTTATACATTTAACATTTAAAGAAATGTTAAATGCTTTAAAGAAACAGACACTTCTTCTCACACTCTTCCAAATGTTTAAATTACAGTAGTATTAATTCACAGCTTTTTTTCCTTTTTCTCATTCTGATCATGTTCCATGGTTATCTATTATCATTAGGGGATTATCGTATTCATTATTTATGTTCTTTTGCATATTTGAAATAAATGTTTTAAATAAAAAGTAAGCATAAAACACCTGAGCCATTGGAATACCTGGATGAATAAAGCACATCTGCTTCAAACCCTTTTTTTTTGCAGTTAATAGCACTTTGTAAACATATGCAGCTTCAGCTCTATTCGCATTTAAAAATATGCACATTAGACAAAATATCAAAACATTATGGATATGCATACATTATGAAAAATGTTAAATATTTTGCATTAGTATTAATTAAAGACTGTTCGTGTTGGTTGCTATTTAACTGAATAGGCAATCTTAAATACTCACTGTCATTTTTGGTTTTGCTGGAGGGTCTCTGTTCAGTTTGTCTTGACTGTTTTCATCATCGATTCGAAACGTTTCTATCTTCTCTGTTCAGTGCTGTTTACGAGAAGAACATCTGCTGCTAAACTGACATTTAAACTGGAATTTAAGGTTATATTTCAGGCTTTGCTCCGTTGATCCAGACAGCTGCTTTGCAGAAACGCTCTTAGATGTTTATGGAAACCCAGACATTGGCTATGTGCATCCTCCCTGGGGACACAAACACACTAAACTCTCCCTCCCTCTCTCCCTCTTTCTTCCACTTTCTCCTCCTCTCTCTCTCTCTCTCTCTCTTTTCCCATCCCAGTGCCAAGACTCACCCCGCGTCTGTTATTCTGGCAAAGACGCGCGAATCAGCTGCAAGGTATTTCAAACCTTTCCCTCACAGTCCATTCGAACCACCCCCACCTCACCAATTTCACCCCCCCACCCGAAAATGTGCATCAGTGTGTCCGTGGTCTTAAGCACCCTCTCCTTTATTTTCCTCCTGTTCAGCTGTCACACATTTTGAACCTCTGCTCTCCTACTTAGCTTCCATGTCTCTTTACCAACTTCTCAGTGTGTTAAAGTTAAACTACCCCTGCTGCCTAGAATTCCTCTTTTAATCAACAGGTATGCTGGAATGGTTGGAATAGGCCATCAAACTTTTTATTTGATCCCCTAATAATTACAGGGATTACAATATAAAATGACAACCTTTTCAACAATTGCTGCACATAGAAACGGGTTCTTGAGGAACGACATAGAACTCATGCACTAACCCTTTTTTTAATGAAGTCTCTGCTCTCCTTTCTACAAGTAGAACTTAAATACACTTTTTTCAAAAAAAGTCTCAAAATCCTCATGCATTGATCAAAGTTTCATGAGTGTCTCAAAATTCCAAAAGCAACTTTGAACACGACTCATCAAATTCATGGGCATGGCTAGAATAGAATAGAATAGAATAGAATAGAATAGAATAGAATAGAATAGAATAGAATAGAATAGAAAATCCCTTTATTGTCCCAAATCGGTAAATTATAGCGTTACAGCAGCAATGGTTAAAGTAGAAGTGCTCACACAATGTGCACCGAAGAAAAGTGAAGGAAAAATAACAGATAGGAAAATAAAACAGAGCATTGTACTGTAGAGTGTTCTACAATATAATACTCTGTATCTGGAGAATAAAAATCAATAACAGCTGTGGACATGTTTACAGTAATGGGTATATGAAAAATAGCAGCAACAGAGATGGTCAAATGACAGCAGCATGTTATCTTACTGACTAAGACAAAAACTGTGCAAAAATCAGCATGAATTTAACAACGTATTGAGGTTGTTGGGAACAGCAATGGTTATAAAGTCTTACAGCTGCTGGGAGGAAGGATCTGTGAGGATGCTCCCTGGTGCATTCGTCTGTCACTTTCCAGTTCAGCAACAGCTTCATGCATAAGGTGGTAGACATTATCCAACAGAGATGTTGGAAATGTCAATGGAGGCCAACATTGGAGTGTATGGATGAATAGTGCATAGTTGTTGTCTTTTTTGTTTTGCTGTTACCACATGTTCTGTAAACTTCATTTTTACTATGCACAGCACTTTGTACAACTTTTTGTTGGTTTTATGTAGTTTTTTTGTGGGGAAAATAAGAGGTAAACTAGGGTAAACTGTTTGGCATAGTCTGAGTTTGCAGGTATAAAAATATAATGTAAAAAATGTTGCAATATATTTATGTACTATTTATAAAAACTGTAACACTTTAGAGAAACAGGCCTAATGTAGTGTTTTCTGTTCACCATTGTGTCGCACTGAGCTCATTAGGGATTACATTTTTCTGATAACTGTTTATTCATTTGATTTCTGCTGTGTGTCATTTCAAACAAAATGGGATTCTGGGAGGATTTCATATAGTTTTGAAAGTGAAGTTTGATTTGTCAAACAATTGAAGGGTTTTGAGTATTTTGTGTATTTTTTTAATGGCGTGTAGAGCTCTTAGAACATGAGGCATGTTTTGCTTTAGAATTAAAAAGTACCTTTTTAAATCAATAATATAAAATAGATCAGAACACAAAGTCAAAGGAAACAACAATAAACATTTATATGATTATATCCATTTTTTTCTCTGTCACTGTGCTTCTTGAAAATCAAATCCAAGCAAATCAGATCAACTCAGGATAGTTTTGAATTATAAACGACAAAATGCAAGCACAAATATTTCCCAATAATTCATCCAGCAGGAGCATCTGTTGTAAGTCAATAACTGGATGCTATCAACTGGATTTCATTGATGGAAACTTTTAACCAACCTGACTGTATTTTCCCTGTAAAGTTATTTGAGATGACAAATTGTAAATTGATGTAAATTATACATGTGTACATTTTTATGATCTCTTTCTCTAATCTTTTCTTCACCTTTGTACATTTTGCCATAAATTTTGTTTGCTTTTATTACATTTTCTCTGCATTTTATTGCTTGTCATCACAGACTGACATTTCTAACAGCTGAAGCTGTAAAACCCAGCTTGAAACTCCGCTGCCACTGCATTCCCACTTGTTAGTACTAGCTGCAGCTCCTATTGCTTTAACACCCTCCTCTTCTTTCCATCTACCCCAGTATAGGTCAGTTATACATACATGCTACAGCACTATTATTGCCTCCAGCTTGACGTCTGTATATTATGTAACCCAAATACAGGCTGTTATCACAAGAGGCTGTCTCTGCTCTGGTTTCTAACAGCATGTCTGTGTGTGTGCATGTTCTTGCTTGCACTGTAGGGCCTTTTGGCCCCTGTTGTGACAACCAGCTTTTACTGCTCCAAAACTAAACCCTATCTTTCCCAAATAATACAAGCTGACCCGAACACAGATGCTTTCATTCATGAATTCTGACACTTGTACTAATTATATCAGTATATAGACTGTGCGCAGATGGGTAATGAGGCACAGAGGGATTTCCACATTGCCCTGAAGAATAGTCTTTGTTGTCTTTAATAGAAGGTTACATAATCTGCAGCTTGTTATACTTTTGTAACACAAGTGTTGCAGAATGTAATGCACGCAATGGTTGTGAGTGCTTCCCATAATGTAATAACGTTTAAAGACACCATCCCAATTTCCATTATTAAGCAAATCAAAGCCATAGAACTTGGTCACAGTATGTTCAGAGAAGGTCTTACCATTACCATTGTAGGTATGCTTTCTTTACTATTGTTGATATGGTGTAAAATTTTACCATTGTTGGTATAAATCACTACTGGAATTATAGAAAACAAGAGTTACTATGTGATCACTTATCTACTCGGGTAACACAATTGTGATTTTGCTTATTTGTTCTCAGTACCGAAAACATTATTATTGTTTTTAACTGCATTCCTCATACAATTTTGTGTTATAAATAGGGTTGCACTGATACCACAACTGGCCGGGGCCTAAAGCAGGACTAAAATGGTGATATCGGTATTGGAGAGTACCAACAAATAGGACACTGATACCATTTTGAGAGCCAAAAGTTTATTCAACTATTGTCACCCATTCCAGGTAGGGATTAAAAAGTTCTACTGGATTTACTTTGTATTAGTCTTTTTCCTGTTTCACAAAGGTAGGCAGCAGCTTGACAAATCCATGATGGCAATTATTTTACATCCAAGTGGTATGCAGTTCTTCATATATACACAAACACGTTACTTTCAAACAGATGGTATCGGTATCGGCTGATCCTGCACAGCCAGGTATTGGGTATCGGTATCAGGGCAAAAAATGGCATCGGCGTGACAGTAGTTATAAGCTGCTGTTAAATTAAGGAAAAAAAACAAGTAGCTGGAAATAGATATGTTTACCATGAATGAGCATCAACATGGGATTATAATACGTTTTCTTCATCCCACCCCCTTTCAGGCCTTACATTTTTTGGCATTCACTTGTGTGTTCCAACATATGTAATTGCCTGAAATACAATAAAAAAAACAAAAAGTAGAGTTCAACTGTCATAAAGAGTTTAGAACTATCAAGGTTATTATCCAACAGAAACTGGCTCAAAATGTGGCATGCAGTTGATCAAAATAAGGATCAAACAGACAGAAAATCCTCCCATACACTTAGCTTCTCCTAGCTGCCCTCTGGGAAGAGGCTTTGCAGCATTCGATGCAGGTTCCATCAGATTCCCAAACAGCTTCTTCCCCACCACCATCAGCCACCTGAACTGTTGAAAGAAACTTTACATCATATCACAGACTCTGCATCACAATGATATAACAACAAACCAAAACACTGGTTTACAGCCCATGTATTTAACGCTCTGAACTTCCATATCAATGTGTTTTTTTGCATCATGTTTTTCTCCCACACTGTTTCCATATGATCACAGCTGCACTTTAGGAAATGGAAATGTCATGAAAGCTGTAAAAAACGAAATTTTGTTTTGTATTATATAAATGACAATAAAAGTTTAAGTCTAAAACCAGTACCACATTTGTACAATTTGTACATTGTCAGGAATCCAGTTTTTGTGGGTTGTTTCTGTGTTTCCTTTTCTCCTCCACCAGGTGGTGCCCCGTCCTCTTTGGGCCTCCCTGCACACCTGCAGCTCGTTGCCTCATTACATGAGGACTCTTACCCCCGGCTCACACCGACTCCGGTCTTACCGGTGCAGTGCGGTGGGTGCGGCGCCGCAGTGATTCCAAGTCATTAAAAAGACGTAAACCTCTCTCACCGGCTGCTGAGCTGTCCGGCTGCGATTAACGAGACACTCCGGCGCTGCAGAAAATTCAGCAAGAAAGCTATATATCCTTATTTAGGCTGTGTTATCGCGTGAAGTTACGTGAACTCAAGTGAACTTCTGTTAAATCTCCGGACCTGTTGCCGGAGCCGCAGAGCCGCACCGCACCGTAGTCAAAAGGGCAGTGTGAGAGGGGGTGTGCGGGAGTTGCGGTCTCCGTCGGCTCGGTAACCGCACCGGAGCCAGTGTGAGCAAGGGGTAAAGCTGCTGACTGCCGCTACCTTCCCCAAACAGTTTGCCAGCTTGGGTAATTGGGACCTTCACTCCCCTGGAAGGATCAACTGAGCCTCAAACTGAGCTGGGGATTTAAACTGGAGGTTTGGATCCACTTTTGCCCAAGAGGTCGTTTGAGTTTCACATCGAGCAAGGGATTTATCTGCACCACAGTCCGTTCAAGTTCCGCAGGAAATCTGAGTGGCAGTCAGCTTCTCCGTTCACCAGGGAACAACCGCAGCCTGAGTAAACCCTGTCCGCCCACCATCAAACAAGACAGTCACTGGAACATCACACACAGACTGGATTCAATAAAATACACCTTTTTCTGGAAACGTGAGTCTGCAACCTATTCCTCCTCTTCAAGTCAAAGAATCTGATTTTCCACTGAGCCTGAACTAACTGCAGTGTCTTCCCCTCACCTTTCAGTTCCGGTTGAGCAGTGTTCAGAGCAGCACTGAACTAATCTCATCATACTAAATAAACCCGTAAAACTTTTCCCTGGTCTCTCTGTTTGGTCTTCTGCATTTGGGTCTGATCTTTAATTAAATCATGACATACATAAATACAAGAAATGAAAACCAGAGAAAAAAAAAGATATGCATACAGTTTCTTAATCTTAGAAAGAAAATTAGAATAAACTTTTCCCTATAGATTAGTTAGAATAAAGAAAATTGTATATATTGCTGGTAAAATTACTATTGAACTTGTCACCATTTTTCATAGTAAACATATTTCTAAAGTTTCTACTGGCATGACATATACCAGGTGATGGCAACTCAAATAATGCAAACACTAAAATCAGAACAAGTTACGTAATCTGTAATAGTATGAAATGACAAAGGGAAAAGTACTGATCACACATAGAAGGTGGATTGAACCAAAGTCTGGTTGTGAATATTATTAATTTCAAGTTTCAGCACTTTTGACTGTTTCAGTACTAATTTCTCAGATTAGATGGAATTCTGTCTCTGAAGCGACTCCTTTCATACAGGAGAGGCAGAGAGTAAGAAGGGAATACCTTACAGTGCCTCTGTGACAAAGCTGAAGAGGACTTGTCAAAATGATTGCATTGTCTGTGTCTGAAACAGAATTGAATCTGATTTACAGTTATTTGCCTGTCAAGGCACACTGCATTTCTTTGCAAGAATAAGCATTCAGCATTAACAACTTTAACAAACAGAATTGCTGGATAAAAATAGAGTCTGTAGTCCAGATGTAGACCAGCTGTCCATGTTGTTTTTGTTGCAGGGCTTACAGTGAATGACTATTCTGAGGAATCAGGCTCTTCTGGTTTCATCTAAAAATCTAAGTAACTGAACACTGCCTCTTTCTGGATGGATTTAGCTATTGCGTTTCTCATCACAACCCTGAGATGAGTTATCCAGGATATTTTGGTTGGATTTTAATTATATTTTCAACAACACAACAGATCTTTGTGATTTGGTTCTACATACACATATTTAGTTTGCGGAAGAAAACACTGAGGACGTTCTGTTTTTTAAGGGGCTTTCTTTCTGCATTTATGACAAGAGTTTGTTTAAACAATAGCTCAAATTAAATAATGTATAACTTGTAAGTACAGGCGACTCAATAGCTTTGAACCACAAAGTTCTTTCAGACCTGAAACATAACATAAATAAAAAGTCTTGTATCAGAAACTTAAGTTTGATGTATTTCTTTAGTGAACTTAAGAAACTTAAAAACAAAAGATAAATTCTTATCTTCATCATACGGCTGTGATGCTCCTAAGGCTCGCAGCTTCTGCTCTGTACTTCTTCATGTGTCCTGACAGTTCTACCCCAAACCAGAAGCCCATCAAAATGCACCACAGTATCTAAATAAACATCTTTATAACTAAATACATTCCTATATTACTAAATATGAATAAAGTACTTCTTACATTCTTATATTGACTAAAATTCTGCAGACATTAAAATGGCTCTAATATAACTGTAATACACTTAAATAATTTCAAAGAAGCTTTATTTTAATATGTTTGTTTTTTCAAACAGTCATGTTATATTTTATGGCAACGATATCATTTACCACACAAAATATTTTCTAGAAAATTAAGTTCTGCAAAACCCAATTAAGGTTACCATGGTGAAGTATTTGACTTTTCAGTTATAATCAGTCAAGATAGAGCAACCAATTTTCATAACAGCTGTTTAAAGGTTAACAAATGAATCACAGATTGCCTTAAAGCTACAGTGTGTAATAATTACAGGGATATACAGTCAGAAATGTAACATATTATACATAACTATGTTATTTTATCATCATCTACGAGCTCAGCCTCTTAACCTTAATATTTGCGTTGCCTTAGAATTTGTTATTTATAATTACATAGGAGCGGGTCTCGCAGCCATGGAGGCAGACATCTTTGCGCTACGGCAGCGCAGAGCCAACAAACTAGCGATTGCGAGATCGCCAAAATGTCACAACGATGTAGAAAAAATAACGGGTATATTTATTATCTTAAGTCTACATGAAATCTATACCCTACTTAGACTAATAAAATACTATCTGTAAAATTATCTATGTAAACAAACCTCATCACTTGAGAAGGTAGGTGATGCGGACGTCGTGGAAGACATTTTGTCCCGTAACGCTCGCCGTACTGTTGGGGGGGAGAAGCGGTGGGGGGGAGATGTTCATGTTGCTGCAGTCTGCAGTCTGACCGCTAGATGTCGCTAAAAGTTACACACTGTAGCTTTAAATGAGAAAAAACAAAAAAACAAAAAAACATTTGTCTCAGTTACAGCATCAAACATTATTGAAAAAAATAAAAATAAAACAGGTTATCGCAGCAATCACATTTACGACTCCTTCGTTGCAATCTAAACTTTAGTTTTTATTTTTAACATAATGGGTTTTCCTCTATTTTGCAATTTTATTGCATGATTAATGCAAAGCCTACCAAAAGCGCAGGCTTTATTGTTTCTTGTGCACATCCACATTCAACTACATCACATTATGAGGTGGAGGTGCCACAGTTTAGCAGTGAGGATAGGGTATCCAGACTTAAGATTTCTTATCAGTCATACCTCACGAAGCTGGATAGAGAAAGCAGATGAAAAACCAAGGCAGAAATATCAAGACAAAACTTGAAAAGCGCCTCAGAGAAGAAAAACAGAAGTTGTTAAATGCCTGGACCTCGGTGGTGCCAGTGATCATCAGAGCACTATGGACAGCAACCCTGAAACTGAGAAAGTGGGTTCAGCAGGTTTCAGGAATAGCCTTTAAAATCCTTATCCAGACAAAAAAGCAAACTCTAGGAACATATGCAGTACGGCATAGAACCAGAAATCTTGCGGCCTAATGTAGGACAAGGGCAGAGCATATAAAGTACCTGTACAAAGCATTTGTCCACTTCATATTTTCTTCTTTCTTCTTCTGACTTTGTTTTATTTTTTTATCACATGTAAAATGTGTTACATCATCTAGCAAATTTTAATATAAGACAAAGATAACATGAGTTTGCTTTGATCATTCACTGTCTGAAAGCTGCACAAAATGAAATTTCGTTTTGTATACACTCTGTATACAAAATGACAATAAAAGTTCTCTAAGTCTAAGAGTTGACTCAATACATTTAGGAAATTGCATTCTGAGATCCGTAATAACCAAAATATTTACAGGAAATATTATTTCAGGTCTTAAACTTTAACCTGATTTCGAATAATAATAATAGAGAAGTTACAGGGCTGGGCTTGCATCATCGCTGGTGTCAAAGGGATAAAATGAGCCACAATTGACATTTCCAGCGGGCTCTCATCCCTCAGTGATATTAGTAAAACATGTGTCATGCTAAGTTAAATTCAATTCAGTTTATTTATATAGCGTTAATTTACAACTTGTCATCGCAATGCACTTTACAATTCAACCAGATCAACCAATCAAATTAATTTGAAGTTTTCTACCTGAGGAAAACCAGTTGACCGCATCAACTCGAAGGCAATCCTTACACCTAGCATGCGTGTAGCGAAAGTGGAGAAGAAAAACTCCCTTTTAACAGGAAGAAACCTCCAGCAGAACCAGGCTCAGTGTGAGCGGTCATCTGCAAAGGCTGACTGGTTGGTGTCTATCTGATACGGTATGTCATTATTTGGTGTATAGTCCTTATGTTAAAAGTGTGCCTACAGGTTCTTTCGGCCACAGTGATGTGTCTCTGCAAGTCATCGAAGAGTCTTCAGTGAAATCATAGATACTTTAAATAACTATTTTAATAAAAAACTATTACATTATCAATTTATGTAGATATTAGTACTTGTAAATATCAATTTAATGCAGAAGGATATTGATAAAAGTAGGTAAGTAATGACGATGGAAAAGATGTCTGCTCCAGAACTCAAACCTGAAAGAATTTTATCCAATATACCTTTTATCTAGACAGATGTTTAAATATATGCATCTATTTGTTAGCAAAGGCTGTAGGAAACTATAGTTTGTCTTTATTTAGAAATATGGACGTTGTGCTTGTTCCTGTTGGAACTTGAGATTATTAGAGTATATAAAATAAAAAAATTAAAAAAACAGTGTAGACTGATCCTGAGGTTCTGGTGCCTATCCACTTTTGCCCCGCCCCCTCAGTATACATTGGTTATTTCCTGGACACCCTTATAAAATGTTTCTGGCTATGCCTCTGCAGACTGCTTTAATTAATCTGACTTTTGAGGTATATGTTAGAATCAATATATTGTATTATAGGTAGAAAAAAAAATCTATCTATAATTACATCAGAAATATACATGTTTATTATATTTAAAATCCTTGGTATAAATAAAGATATTTCTAACCAAATTTATTTATTTAAGCTCATTCATTCTTTTCTAACAAAACTGCTTTTAAAAGAGAACAAAAACTAAATGAAAAAAACTACAAATGTTTTTTTTTCGTCCTTCAAAGATTAATATTAATGCAAACCTAGTTGAAATACGTTCAATCATTTTAAAGAGTTTAACAGTCGCGTGTTTCACGGTTATAATGTTACGTTTCAGTCGTTTAATTTGAACGTTTCATTTATTTTCCTTTGCTTTGTCTGTTTTTTTTAAATGACACTAAATTATTCATGAGCTCCACTACCGTCGCAGGCGAACCCAGCGACAGGAGGCGCGGTCTTTCCTGTAGGCGAGAACGGAAGCGGAAATTCGGCCATCTCCTCGTACACTCTGGCTTCAACAGGGTCAGTACATACTTTATTTATGGATTTATTGTGCTGTGTTGCGAACAGTCCGCGTGGTGTTGTGTTTTGGGTAAAAATAGTCATCACTATCTTGAACCCGGACGTGTTTCTGCCATCTAAAACCCGTTCAGAGAAGCAGTTAAGCTGCCAAATGTATACTAGCATTCGAGGCTAGCTAGATAGCTAGCAGCCACTGATTTCTTTATCAGTCAAACTGACAGGTAACCTTAACCCTTGTAAATAGAGGGGAATAATTCAGTCTCATGAATGAAATTCCTATTGTTGTTCTATGCTACGTTGCCTACTTATTAGGACATTTCCTGTTCCGTCTTGTAAATTGTGTTTCACTTAAAAAGCTAGTGTATGGTAAGAAACTGCTAGTGTACAGTTTCGGTTAGCTTTGGGGAAAGAGTTGCTTGCTTCGGCTATCGTTAGGGTGGTTTCTTTAACTTTCTCCTATCAGTTGAAGACTCTTTAGGTGCAGTGATGGTCGTTTAATGCGAGTTTATGACCGTGGATTACATGCTTGTTGCCAGGTCTTGCTAAAATGATCAGCTGTTTTACTGATAGCTAACATTTCGTTAGCCTCCCAACTTGATAGGTGTGACAGGAGCAAGTGCAGTTGAATGACTGGGCGACCAACGGTTGCTTCCCTTATCTCCGAGTAAGTTTAATGGGTGGGGGGGTGCTATGATAGGTGATATATTGGTGTTGAGGCAAGAAAACTGTGTAGGCTTAACTTTAATGCGTGGCTTTTTAAATATTATAAACGAGATGTTTCCAGAAATATCGGTTTTTCTAGGCAGTATTACATAATCATACCTAACCTCAACTTTGCAGTATTATTCAAAGGAAATATTTCTGTAATATGGATGGATGTCCTCAAAATTAACAATTAGGGCAGTACAACATGCACAAGATTGAGCATCAATGTAGTGTCAGATAAGGTTGAAATCAAAACTTATGAGGAGTGATGAGGGGGGGAATATTCTTTATTAACCTACAGTGGGAACATTGAGCTATGCTAGTAGCATAGTTGCATGCAAAGAAAAGCTTGCAGAATTATACACAGACAGAAATATAAAAAGAGAAGATTAGAGACCATACAACAAGAGCGACTTTGCTTTGCAGCCTTCCAAAAAAATAAAATACCTGGGCTGTAGACAAGGCAATATTTAATATGTTGTTGTTTTTTTGTTTTTGTTTATTTATTTATCAATTATTTTTTTATTTTTTTACCTGTGGTTGAAAAGTATCTTAGTGACATTTGTTTATTGTTGAAGATCAGTAAAAACCACATTGGCACATCACTGGTTTAAGTATTTCCCTTGCATTTAAGGTCACTGTGGAAGGAATGTATCGGATGATGCTTTGGATCAGAACTGAGGTGTTTTGTCAGTAGATAATGCAACTGTTACACTTTGTTAAGATGGAAATCCTGTATTTGAGTTATTACCATCTATTTGCATGGGCCACTAATAAATTTGACATCTATGTTTGCAGTGAACCTTAAGTCAACATTTACACTTGATTTTTATTGCAAATTATGTTGTCATAGCAACATTAAGTAATATTACCCCATATCTTATGCTTCCTATATATCATGCAGCCTTTTTAACATTGTACCAACTATATACAGCATTCTATAGAGTAAAGATCTGTTAATATTAGTTTTTAATGGCCAGTACCAGATGTTTAAAAGGAAAGAATAAAACAACAGATTAATTATTTTCTATTGTTAATTTTATTTCTTCTAAGTCTTTCCACATTATTTTCCTCATGCTGTATTTTACCTACGAGAAACTAGAAGTGGAATTCAAGATGGCGGCCCGGTGAAGACCAGATTGGCAAATTTTGAACATTTGAGTGAAGTTTCCCTGGGAAAATTGGGGCATACCAAAAGCCGTAAATCCCAAAAAGAGGGTGTACAATTTCTAATATTTTTAGTAAATGGCGCACATTGTACACAATGTATCTAAAACCCTTCCTGGCAGCAAATAACTTATTATAAAATCTGAGTATCTACTGTACCAAATATCAACAGCTGCACAGAGGAAGGATTTTACTTTGATTAAAATTGATAAAATGCACATAGTCACCATGATATTCACTTGTGATTTATTTAACTAATTTTAGTATAACTATCTGGATTTTTTAATTTGAAAACACAGATAAATGATAGCTTACTTGTTCATAAGAGAGTAAATGTTTTGTTTTGTTTTTTCTTTTTCCTATTTTAGGAGACTAAAATAAACACAGAGGCTGTGATCATTTAGTATATGTGGTGAGAGTGGTTAATTTCCTGTTTTTTGGTTCTCCATTTTCTATTTTAAATCAAATTATGTGCTTAACATTAGTTTATTTTCAACTGTATTAAAACAATGAAAAGTCTTTTGCAAAGTAATGACTATGGAGTGGAAGTACTGTAGGAATTATTAGCGGAGTCTTAAAAAAATCTGTAGCTTTGAATTTGGAAATGTGCAGGGACCTTGCTGGCATGATGTTTTGACATGCAATTTGTGTTGAGAGTTTTCTGTAAAATATTGTAAATATTTTTCTGTCAACAAAACCTCAATATCAACTGACCAGGATACTGCTTCTCTTTAATACCACCAGAATCAAGAACCGTTTTTTACCAGAAGTGGAAGGGACTGCTTTCACTTTCCTTAGAGCATCTCCAGGCTATAGAAATATTAGCTATAGTAATATTTACCTTTGAAGGCAAACAAAACAAAGAACAGCGTTTTGAATGATTGAAAATACAGATGTAACTTAGACTAGATAAACCAGATGCAGAAACCAGTTCTCACTATAAATCCAGTCAGAAAAATGAGTTGGTTTCCTCTTACTATGGATTGTTTTTATAAAGAATTAGGCAAAGGTCATACTTTCAAATGTGTACCTTAGTTGAGTCCTCTGTGGATCAGTTAAGGACCTATAGATAACCTAACAATAACACAGCAGGCTACTATTCAAAGGGCTCCGTCATGCATTTGTAAGGTTCTGATGACCTGGTTTCAGAACTGATTTTGACGAGATTAGAAACTAGACTCCATCCTTTGAGACTTTAAAGCACTTATTGGAAACAAGCCTGTTTATGTTGCTCACTGAACATCTGTATAAGTAATGTACCACCTTATAAATCAACCAAATTTGACCTTTTTTTTATTTTGAGCTCCATTTCTTTTGGAGTTAAGACTTTAATTTACACAAAAAGAAAAAAATTGATTTAAAGGGTCTGCTGTTAATGCAGCATATTGAGGGAGAGCATGGCTGTTTTTTATTCTTGTATTTACCTGTATCTCTATTGAAACCCCATTCATTTATGTTGTAATTTCCTGTCTGAATAGAGTTAGTAGATGTGAAATAAAGGGGTGTGTATGCTCTGGTTGAGAGCTCAGTGCTTAAGTGTAGTTGATGTAATCTGATAGTTACTGAAGGTGTCCGGGACAGTGCTGACGTCTGACTGGGACACAAAGGACATGTTATGTCTCTTATCATGGATTAAAATGCGTACATTAACTTTGTTATAGAGCTTCAAGAGTCTCTAAACTGATTTTACAGCAATGTAACCCTAGTTATGTAGGGTGCTCTTAAATTTTGATTTATTTGATTTCCTTCTTTGTATGCAGCAAGCAGAATTTGAGCCTAAACCATGTATCTGATAGGATATTTCTTACTCTAAAAGCCAAACTTACAAACCTATTTAACTACAGATAATATGAAGGTTTTTTTGAGAAAGTAGTAAGTCTAAACATCCTCTTGCTATCGGTTAGTGAGATTTTGTAGAGCTTAGTCTTCATGTGTGTTTTGGTTCATTTGTGTCAGAGTGCAGCAAAATAACAAGGTTTTCCTGGAATATGAAGGAAGAGAAAGAACAGCTTTGTACTTTGGTTACCTGGCAATGCTTGCCTGCATAATTATAAGACGATGTTCATTAAATTACTAGATTGAAGAGAGTAGAGGGAGCAGCTGAAGACACTATTTGTTTTATCCTTACACAGCGCTCCTAAAAACATTCCTGAAGATATTCAGAATATATTGCAAGGAAAATTAAGACTAAAAGAGAGACTTAAGAAGGTCTTTTCGTTTATTGTAGTTTTCCCACTGTTCTTTCTCTCCCTGTTTGATGAGAATCTGCAGATAGTGCCAATGCAAGGATGCATCTGGTCAGCACCAATTGTTCAGCTTTTCTTGAAAGCAATATTGTATAAACAATGTTCAGGAGTTGGTGTGTGATGGGCCATTATGCTGCAGATATCATTAATTTTGTCTCATTAAACCATCAGCAGGATAAAAGCTGTGATTATTATGTTCAATATAAAAGTTTTCACTCGTTTGGCAAATAGTAAAGGAACATTATTTGAACCACTTGAAAATGTCTCTACTTTTTTTATCAAATTCCAACCAAATCTCTTTTGTAACAAGGTAACACAAAGCACTGCAGCATTTCCGCAGGTCATTAAAAGTCATTAGATTATGATTTTTTTAATTAAGGCCTTAATTGGCATTAAAAATCATTAAATGTGATTATCGTGGCATTAAAAATGCTTTATTCAAAAAAAAAAAACATTTATAAAAACAATTCCGTCAGATATATCAGATATAAGTGGTTCAGCATGTTTGCGTGGAACTGCTTCCGGTTGACCGTAAAGTTGTATGTTTGGAAAAGAAGCTCAAGGCGGAGAAAAAGCTAGAGAATAGCAAAATGCAAATTTCAACAAAGTGGCTGGAAAAAGAGGAATTCAGGACAT